GGACGCCGCCAGCGGTGCGGAGCCGTTCGAAGAGGAGGAATACGAGGCGGAGGAGGAGTATGAGGAGGAGGAGTATGGGGAGGGCGAAGAGAATGAGGAGGAGCCGGAGGAGGAGTATGGCCTCGACCCGCCTAGTAACGAGGACAAGGACCCCAAGCCCAAGAAGGAGGTGCTTTGCATTCAGGGCAGAAATTACGCCGCGACCGCCCTGGTAAAAAACGCAGGGTTGATGGCGGCGCAAAAGAAGCTTCGTAGGAATCCCAAGGCCACGCTTATGATGTGTTCGCTGCTGATGGCGCACGACGTTATGGAGTGCCGGTTTCTGCACTTGACCAACCGTGCCCTGTTGGTGGGGGACCGCTATGTGCGGGTCAACATGATGGTGGACAACCCGGCGAGGGTTGCCGTCCTTAAAAATCCGGCGTTGGCGTCGGCGGCGACGTTTTGCGCCGCTGCCGACGATGGACACGACGCCTCCGTGTGCTCCGCGTTGCACCTTTTATCAGGTGTCCTTTTCGTGGGCAGCCCACAGCTGCGTGTCGGCTATTTTGAGAACGAGCTGCACGACAACGTCGCGCTAAAGCGGTTGAAGGCCGCTCCGGACTCTTGTGGGCGTTGGTGCAGGAGTAAGCGGTCTCACGTTGTTGTGACGTGTGGCTTTCTGCACTACAACCGAGGGAAGGTGTACACGGAGGTTCCGCGGGAGCCGGCGAAGCCGCTTGCCGTGATACCGAACCTGCGTCCACGGGCACCAAGGCCGGTCGGCGGGAGAGGGGGCCGCGGAGGCACCTCTCGAGGCAGCGGCAGGGGCGGACGCGGGCGCGGTACAGGCAGCGGTGGGCGAGGGCGTGGGGCCTACCGCGGCAGAGGTGGAGCTGGCAGCGGTGCCCAGCGAGCTCCGCGTCCGCGTCCGCATGCGATGGCGGCGACTCCCGCCGCTGCTACTGAGGGGACGGACCGTGGCCACGGGGCGCCGCCGATGGTCGCCGTGACCCCGCTGCCCGAGGAGAAGCTGCAAGCGCAGAAGGAGCGGCTGCTGAACTTTGTACTGGCGTTTTTGCTGCTTTTGGTGGCTCTGCTGGCCTATTTGCTGAAGTAAGGAGCAACCACTGGCCTGCGACGTGGTTATTCTTTATTCTGCTAAAGTATTGATAACGGCAAGGAGGAGGCGAGTAAGAAAAAACAAAACAAAAGAAGGAAAGAGAT